ATGTTGTGTAGGTTTTGCCCGTTTGATGAGTACTCTGCTGTCTGCAGTCAATCAAATGAAGCCGGGGTATTGATTGGCTTGGAAATTATACGCGAATCAAGCAGCAAGATGATCGATAGCGTGAGCAAGGCCGCTGGCGCGCGGAATGGGTAATTACGTGTGGGAGAATGGCCTGGCAGAGCGAAGGCAGGATGAATGATGCACAGTTACGCTGGCTGGCAGACTCCTACAATAGCTCTGGTTGGAGCAAAGCTTTCAACACGAGCACTCGATTAAAACAAGTACGGAAAGTTGGGTGTTTTAACGGATTTTAAAATCTATAAGGAAATGGGCAACAAGTCCGTGTCTGATAGTGCAGACCTGATGACAGTCAGAAGGTTGGTTGATGCCACGATTGCACGAGGTCGCTAAATCGGTAAGCTTGTCCATAAACGCCGGAGAGACAGAAGTTTTTTCGTGCTGCATTTATGCCCAAGTGAAGGCATCCCGCGAGATTAATGGCTGTCAACGTGAAGAAGTAGATAATTTTAAATGCATGTACGCGAGGTTGCTGCCGACTGAACAGAGTAAGCGTCACATTGTCTCCCGAAGCGATGCACTTCGTAGAGTTTACTCAAGCCTTAGAAAAGTATTACTTCAGTTTTAGATTTCTTTTTAGTTTAGTTATAGATTTATCAGTCACATGCGGTTGCTTTCGGAATTAAAATCTTTACTAGTTTACATTACCTTATTTTATATTAATTGGTTTATTTAACTTGTTTATATTATTATTCAGTTTTTAGTTTAGTTTTAAGTTAACTATTTTGGTATATTAAATTTGCTTTAGTTGTAGATTGGTTTTAAGTTTAGTTACTTTGGCTTTTGCTAGTAAACCTTTTTTACTTAGTTGACTTACTAAGTTAGTTTAGCTTGTTTAGTTAGTTTACTTTGGTTTTAGTTAAGTTTTAGACTGATTGGTGACATGCCGTTTTCATTTTATTTTTTACCTCACTTTACTTACACCCAGAAATTCGTAGTTCTTTGCATTGTTCCGAAAATTCGAGCAGTCCCCGAAATTTGCGTGGCTGCATATTTTATTTATGTTGCAGTTTTTTGTTGCCAAACATTACCTTACTTGAATAATTATTCATATTTTTTCTACTCTTATGCGTTCTACTGTTTAATTATGATTTTTTCCCCTGACATGCCCCACGCACTTAACGCCTACTATCGCCTGTCCCGTATTTATAAAAGGATGGGGATTTCGCGTGCCGTACTGGAACCTAAATTAAACTGCTACCATGTATTATGATAACTCCTAAAATAGAGCAAAATAGGTAGCCTTAATATCAAGGTCTTGGCCTCTGCATGGCAAGAAGCATAAAGTCTTGTACTGAAGGAATTCCATACACCGATGCGCTAACACTGATTCTTTGATTCCGAGCTTCACTCACTGTGATCGAATGACATGTACCGGTGAGTTGAACGCACAAATTTTCCTGGAGAAATAGGCGCGCTCAATTTTGCTACTCAGGCCGTAATTCTGATAGGTTAAATTTGTTTCGAACAATATTCTGATTTTGTCCGAAGCCATGCCTACCGGACAGTCGATTATATTTTGATTATGCGTTCATTTTTTGGAAAAAGTCCTCCGGTAGCAACGCTGAGGGAAAAAGCGGAGATGCCCCACACCAACCCGCTGTCTGCTCTCCATCAAAGCCTTCGACAGTTCAGCGAACAGAAAAGACTCGGGAACGACCAAAGGAGGAAAGGAAGAAGGAGGTTGTTTCTGAGGAATTAGGTAAGCAAAACCCCCACAAAACATTTGCACCCATAAAAAATAAACAAGAATTTTGGCTAACATTAAATTACCCGAGGCCTTAGCCACCGTACTCCCTTATATCTTATAATTTTCGAAATCCCTCCCCCCCAAATAATGATTCTACCATACTCCGTTTATTCCCTCTTTTTGAACCAATGAACAGATCCTGAAGTAAAGGAGAAGAAGAGGCGGGCCAAGCTCATTCGCCGCGTGAAGACGACTGGACTGGAAAACTTAAGCACCAGTGAGTACATTCATAACGGATGATGAGATGTTTGAGTACTTATTCATTAAATGTAACTATGAACTGTTTATAAAAATACTCATTAAAATACTGCTATTTCAGTGCTGGACATCAAACTGGACGCGGAAATGCTTGAAGACTACATCTACGGACTACAGACAATTTGTCTTCCTAAGAGTGAGTCTTTATCTCAGGAATGAAAGAGTCTTGAAGAATCTATATCAACAGTATCCGTTAGATCAGCAGATTCTGCCGAAACACATGAATTCACATCTAATGCGGACCGAAACCCGTTAAACAGAGATCAACACCTCTAGACATGGTCTTCTGTAGAAGACCTTCGCAGTTCATAAGATACCCTTAATTAAGTTGGAGAAACTACCCGCTCAGTCATCTCAAACTCAATTAGAAAAACCCCATAATTATCGTATAGAGTTTTCGATGTCTTGACAGTGACAGTGTGGTAAATATTTGCTAATTATGCAGTCAACCTAGCCCGAATATATTTCACTTACGACAACCATTTCGTCCAACCGCCTGTAAGCACCGCACTCTGCGATTTTCTCATTGTTTTTTGATGCTCATATAAGTTATAATATATTTTGTAGGAAAACTTGCCTGAAATATTATTTCTCATAATTATTTTGTCGAAATTACACCATCTTAAAAATTTTCACTTGATAAGATTATAATTTTCAGATAGTTTATGATTATGAAAACAAAGGCCTTTTAGATTTGGCACCACTGAATGCAAATGTAACAATAGGTTGGGTTCACAATTATTCGGGAATTGAAAATACATTTTTAAACTGAAAGATAAATTATCTTCGATTATAAAATGTGAGGAATACTTGATTTACCATCAAATGAATACAAAAAGAAAGGTTTTATGCTGTTTTCCATAAAATATATATTCATGAAAGCAGCAAACATAGATGGAATAAATAAATACTTACAGAGTGCAGGTTTTGCAGGTAGACACAAAAGAAGCTTGTTAAGATATTTAAGGATTATGCTGAATACTTAGTACTTATACAACTTTATTTCAACTGAAAGCGCATTTCATAATTCTGGTTAACATTTTATGAGATAGAAAATCTGGTGTAAACCTTGAGGGGCTTCGAACAGAAGACACACTTCTTAACTAAGCAACCTTAAGGCATCAAAAACAGTTGACTGCATACTAGGTTAAATGCCTGTGTTTACCCTACTCCCTCTTGGTCTTGGCCCGAGGTGGGCTCAATAACCGGCTACTACTGTATATGCGGAAATTAACGAAGAAATTGAAAATTGGCCTACTGAAAATATAAAAGTAGTTAATTATCATACGTCAAAGGCACATTGGACCTTTGAAGACAGTCCCAATGCATTTTAAAAAAGATTGTGCTAACGACTGGACTGAGTAAATGCCTGACCGTCTTCTTCCTCCAGACGAGCACGAATTCATCTACAAGGTCCTCGAGGCTATCAGTAGGAATCCACGCTTTGGCATCGCCTGTCTGTTACTGGACGCTGAAGCCGCCGGCGGTAAGAATAATTTTGTTGCATCACAAATGTTGCCAGAAGAATATTACTGACAAAGACACGAGAGACTGGAATTGCTATTTCTGGTTTATTAACCATTATCAGCCAGCCAGCTAAGCCCAATTCTAAGTGTTGCGACACCCGACGATCAAACCCACGACCTCGGGAACCACAGCAGACGCGTCTTCGAACCGCGTTCCCACCCGCCCTCCCG